TACATACATATACATTCTAATTAAAGTATTGTACTTGTATTGCGTTCCATTGTGTGTGCAAATTAGATGCTATATGCGCAGCATACTTTTATTTTGACGGGACAAAATCTAGAGTCAAGGTTTCTACATGTATGTCTTGTTTTCATATTTACTAATCATACACACCTAAGCGTATTGAGTTCAATACGTCAGTCAGACTTATTTTATGCTTTTATGCCCATTCATCTCCTAATTATTATAAGACTACTATGTTGCCTAAATGCAGATGTCGAGAGACTCCATTAAAATATGAAATCAATACCCAACAACAACAATGATGAATATCTTCTATGTTAAAGAAACACCAAACCATATCAGATGAGGGGAGGGGGTAGGGTGGAGTGGATAAGAGTTTGAGTCTTGTTTGATAGAACTATATTCGGTTTAAATCCATAGTTGTAGTCTTCACCTAAGATCCCACAGTTTATAATTCTGGTTCACTTAAGATGCCGCTGTTAAAAAATAAACCAAACAAAGCAACAACAAATGTTACAACGCAAGAGTCATCCCTAAGATAAATTATCCCCCTCTGAAGTGTGAAGGGATTAAAAAACACTGTTGTCCATATATCATACTTTATAGTGAACAAAAAAAACCAACAACTTCAAAGGTCATCCACCCATTTTCATGCATGCAATCACATCTCCGCTCTAAATCTCAATGCGAGGTACAAGTTTGCTCCAGACGCAATGATTTTACGACAAAGAATTTAATTTTTTTGTCTCCCTGTCATTCTATCCGTCACCCCGTCAGTTGATAATCTCTGTCTCTCTCTTTTATTTACTTTTTCCCATTCTCCTTCGTCCTTTCACAATGCCCACCCCATCCCTTTCATCCCAGCCCCATCCCCTCTTCCTTGCGGGCATTCCCCCACCCCGCCTACCCCCACAACGTGGCCCAGCCCCTTGGCCCAGCCGTATAAGATTCTATAAAAAGAAACACCGCAGTTCGCGAGTTTAGACCATAGTCGGCGGCCATATTTACTTCCCACCTCGGGGTGCCGCTCGTGGCGCGCGAAGAGAGAGAGGACGCTCCTGGTTTTAAGTTGCTTGGGAGTGAACTATGTTGCTATACACGATCTTTGCCCCAACAGCAAAGATTCTCTATGCTAGCCTACTAGATCTAGGGTCTTGGTCCACAATACCTGGCAGGGTTGCCAGTTTGACAGTCTTCCTGCCAAATTTGAGTTTTTGGCAGTTTTGGAAGTCGCAAGGCAGAACAATTATTATGGCTTGGCAGTTTGGCTGTTTTTGGTTGGCTTCAGAACTACACGATAAAAAATAAAATAAAATACCCCCCCCCCAAAAAAAAGCCTAAGAAAGAAACTTTTGACCAACCAGCACTGCATGGGTATTTTATTGCAGGTTCATAGCTGTGTGAATTTCCCCCGTTTATATCGCTTTATGATTTTTTATGGCACTTGTGCCATACATGTAACTGGCACATCTTCTTTTCTAACTTTTTTCTGTGTCAAAGTGGAAAGGTGCATTTGACAGTGAACGCAAGTTCCTGAAAAAGTGGCAGGATAAATTTCCTTGGCCACAGAATGCCACTGTTGGCAGTGATAAGCATTTTGCAGGTGACAGGATCTAAGTATGATGCCTATTAAAATTATTATCCGGATTAGATGTCGCTATAGTTCATTTTGCTTGCTCCTTCTTATCTTCTTTCCTGTACTCTCCGCAACTCCTCCTCCCTTGTCACCACAATAAGAGGTGAGTTCATTTATTGCTAGCATATAAAATCGTTTCATACAATATGTGCCTGCGTTTTCTTTGTTATAAGATTTGCTATAATGTTGCATTAACTTTATAAACACACAATCGCATTTGGCGGTTTTTGTGGCCATTTGGCAGATTTTGGTTGTCGATTTGACAGGAAGCCTGAAAATAATCTGGCAACCCTGGTATCTGGCACCTGGAGGGAAGACCCTGTTGTACAATGTGTGACCCCCGAACATCGCGTAGGGTATAAATACGAGAGGCTTCGTACGAGACGGAAGTTTTACTGCGTCGGACATCAAGGGCCGGCAGGACTTGAACAGACGAAAGAAGAAATTTCTTCACTGAGTATAAACAAACCAATCAGACAAAACTTGGGAAAGTCATAGATCTACTGAATACCAGTTGTTCTACTGTAACGTGATTGTGTGGTCAACTAAACCACAAAAGGGTAACCGACAGTTGCCGACTCGAGCTCAAGGCCAAGAGGCCTACCGTCCGTCGTTCGAGTCGCCATCGTGCTGACAAGGCAGACATGACGGTAGCAGCTGGGTACACGGGCGACTCCAACGCTCCTTTGAGAGACGTGAAGAAGGTCCAGTTTGGAATCTTGAGCCCAGAGGAAACAGTACGTTGATATTGTTTCTGCTTATTAACTTCGAAGACTGCTTATATTTACCATAGAGTGATAGACAATGGTTATGTAATTGGGTTATAGTATAGATTAGTATAGAGGGTGAAGTTGTATTTTAACCCGCAAGAGTGGGTGGGTGGCGGGTGCTCTGGTGTGGTTTGCTCCTTCTTTTCTAGATCTAAATCTAGATCTATCTTATCTAGATCTAGAGATCTATTAAAAAAAACTTTCGCCCTTCTCTCTCTTCCTTTTTTGTGTTTGTTAGGCCTACTCTCTTGTCTCTTGTAATACAGTGGAACTTGGATTCAACGAGGTCGCCGGGCCTGACCGAAAATCACGTTGAATCCGAATGCTCGTTATAGCAAACATGAGGTTTTGTGTTGATGATTACAGGCACTGAGCAAGTACGGAGTGACTATTCGGACTCAAATTGAGTCCGAATATGAAAAAATGTTATTCGGACTTGATTCTTGTCCAGCATGACATCACTTCCGACTTCCTCTGACTCGTGACTGGTTTCCTGTCCTGCCTCACTGGTGACTCGCCTCAGACTGGGTAGAGACCGGGAAAAATGGCGTTTTGTGCAGGAGCTGAGTTTTTATCTTATGTTATGATGAATTTGAGGCCGGCCTGAAAAGTATAGATCTAGATCTAGCGCTTCTAATGTTTATTTGCCAAGAGGTCATCAGAAGCAATTAAAGATGGCTCGTTAGTGTGTGTCGGGGTCGGATGAACGGCCTGCACACGTGTGGCTGTGTGTGCGTGTCGGGGGGGGGGCACTATTGGTGCGGGCGTTGAACGTTGCCATACATACGCGTCTGTCTTTTTTCCCCCCGGCTACTGATCATTATTACAATAATAATAAGCTAGTCTTGACGTAGATCTCATGTAATGAAATGTGCGCTGGTCTATGGAATCAAAAGTTGTCGTATGCTCGGCTCTACACAGCAACACAATCTCGATTGTTTGGCAAAATGTTGTGTTGCTGTGTAGAGCCTAGCAGACGGCAACTTTTGATTCCATAGACCAGTACACAATTCAATACGTAGATCTTAGTCAAGACTAGATTATCATTGAAATAATGATCAGTTGCCGAGGGTAAAGTAAGAAAAAAAGACTGACTCGTTTGTATCTGCGACGTTGGTAACGTTTAACGCCCGGAACGCTAGTGCCCCCCCCCCCCCTTCCGCGACACACACACACCCAGTCACCCGTGTGCAGGCCGCCCATCCAACCCCGACACACTCCAGAGTAGACACATGCGAAGCCAACAACGCATATTGTGTTAGTGTTGGTATGAAAAAAAGGCCGCTGATTGGTCGCATGCAATCGGCTAAGAAAATAATAGCCTAGTTCACGGTACAGTTGCAGTGGATGGTTTCCGGGAATAGATTATAAAGTTCATTCTGGGAGAAAAATGAGTGAAGCCACGTCTACGGGGACTGTTCACCCTGGAAGCGACCTCGTTGAATCCGAGCTCGCTGATTTAAGTATTTAAGTGCTCATTGAATCCGTACTTATTTTTAAGGAAGTGGCTATCCTCACCCGGGGTGAGAATAAAAATACGATCTACCTCTCACCCCGGGTGAGACTTGCCAGCGTTGGCTATTCTCACCCGGTGTGAAACAAGACCTGTTTTTCCTCATTTCGGAATACTGTCTATCGATGTGGATGATCAAATTGATAAAAGCCAAGAAAAAATTATGTTATAGCACAAAAGTAAGCCAATTTTATCGTCTACAAAGATGCATGGCTATTTCATTTTTCGAATCGAGCCGAACTACGCGGGTCTCCATTTTGTTTTGCCTGGAAGTTCTCGCAAGATCTATTCCTCCCCTCTCTCTCTTTCTGAATACTGTCTATCCGTGTGGACGATGTCAAATTGACCAGAACAAAGTAAAAAAATGATGTTAAAACACAAAAGTAAATTAAATTGGTAGTCTACAAAGATGCTATGGCTATATTTAACTTTTTGAATCGAGCCGAACTACGCGGGTCACCATTTTGTTTTGCCCGGAAGTTCTCGCGCTACTCCTCTCTCTCTTTCCAGTTCCACTGCCCACAGACAAAATTGCACGCTTTTAGGCTAACAATATAGGTAATGGAATGTTTGTTCACGGCACAAAATTCTACAAATCTGTTGTCACAATGTAGAATTCTGTGGTTCAGGGTGAACACTACACAGGTTGGCCTAGGCTATTATAACGGTGAACGCACACCGGGTGAGAATAGCCTAAAGACTCACCTGCGCTATTCTCACCCGGGGTGAGAATAGAGGTGGCCTTCTTAGAATTTAAAACCCTTTGTAAGGTACCCCCCAAAAAATGGCTAAAGCGAAACTGAACGGACAAAGAAAGCGCAACAATTTTAAAGCTCTACAAGTAACAGGAAGGGAAGACTTTTCTTTCCCCCTAATCTCAATGCCCTTGGAGAATTTTGAAAAACTCACTGTTCAAGTCTGAAATGCCTACTTAATCTAACACATTTTATTCATGTTGAAGTTAAGATTTTCTGTGTCTTCTTCTGTGCTCCCCCCTTCTCCCCCCTTTTCTTTTTATTTATGATAGTGCAAAGAGTGATTTTGTTTGTTTCGTTTCCAGCGTCGCATGTCAGTGACTGACAATGGAGGCATCAAGTATCCTGAAACCATGGAAGGCGGTCGGCCCAAGCTGGGAGGTCTCATGGACCCACGCCAGGGTGTCATTGACCGCCAGTCTCGCTGCCAGACATGTGCTGGCAACATGACAGAGTGCCCGGGTCACTTTGGTCACATTGAACTGGCCAAGCCTGTGTTCCATGTGGCCTTCCTCACCAAGACAATCAAGATTCTCCGATGTGTTTGTTTTTTTTGCTCCAAGCTCCTCATGGATCCGGTAAGAAAATGCCAGCAATTAGGCAATTAATTCATAAGTTTTTGTTTCTTTTAGACTCACGACATTACTATGGTGACCCATGTAATAATGATAATATATAGCATTTGTAAAGTGCAAATTCCTGCTCAACAGTAAGCTATGTGCTCTTTACAACACTGCAGACCTGAATGCCTTGTAACCTTTCTGGAAAGCATATACAGTGCAAACTGCCATACAGACACTAAAACACAGGACCTAGAACTTTTTGTGTCCCTATGAAACGTTCGTTTTTTCAAGACTTGTAATTCTCCTTTTGCCAGTTAAAGTTTAGAAGAAATGATTGACAGTCTGCAGAGGTTTCAAAATAGAGCTGAGGGTTTGATCGTAAGAAAGTCCCTAACAGAACATTATAATACTTAATTTATTGAGTTTCCTTGGCTACCAGTTAAAGCTAGAATCGATTTTCTTGCTCTTTTATGTGCACGAACTACAAAGCACCACAATATGCCGTATGTATCATCAAGATATTTGAGATCTGCAGGTGAGAATCTCATTAAAGTGCCCATAGTAATAATAGTATAGTGACAGTCTAATAAGTTGGATGGAAGATCTTTTTCTTCCTATGCTCCGAAAATTTAGAATTCCCTCTCTAGAGAACTGCATGGTGTCATAACATCAGAGAGTTAAAGACATGTGTCATGGCGTGGTGGAATCAGGGGCTCGTCATTTTTGGGACCTGTGGAGTTATTGGTATCATCTAAAAGCTTATTCCTTTGTCTTATTTTCAATAAAAAATGCCCTTCTATCTTGAATAGACGAAGAGATATATTTGCGATTGAAAGAGGTTGGGTCGCTTGCTTTCAGTGGTAAAATTTGCAAGAAAATGGCCGTCATAGTTTGGTAGCTTCAGTAGCTTGAGAGTCCTTGGAATCTGAAAAATCACGTATTTTGTGCCTTTAGGAAATGTTTTACACACAAAAATTCGCATGGAAGTGTGTTTTTATTTGGACATAAAAGGTGTTGAGCGGAAAAACAAAACTTCGATAACAATTGCCAAACTGGCGGAAAAGTGCTTTTTTCAATTTCACTATTTTGACAAGCGCTTGATTTCACCATGATGCCTCACATATATTCAACACTGTCCTTGCCAGTATTATTATATTTATTACAATGTGATTGTTATTTTAAGACCCCTTTGTTTTGATTTTGTTAGTTTTGTTTTTTCACTGGGAAGTTCTGTGTTTAGATTTAAAGTAGTATACGGTTTAATTTTTTTCCTGGGATGTTCCAGTTTCATGAAGACAAAGGTTATTTTTTTGGGGTGTCAGTTTATTGCAACAAATAGGTAAGGTATTGTGTCTAGATATGTCTACTTTGCATATTTGTAAATGGACATTTTTGTCTCACAGACTCACCCAAAAATGAAAGACATCCTCATCAAGTCAAAGAGCTACCCACAGAAACGTTTGGCTCACGTGTACAATTTGTGCAAGGGTCGCAAGATCTGTGAAGGTGGAGATGAGATGGACAGGAAGAAAGATGAAAACCTGATGAATGAAGAAAATCCGGAGGAGAACGCGCACAAGGTCAGTGTGTTGATGTATGAGACTATGAAAGTATTGTTTGCTGTTGACACTTGCTTTTTCGGTTGAAGGCTTTTACTATGAAATCATTACTGTTGTTCAAAGTTCTCAGTATGCTACTGTGCATTGCATGTACCTGTTGGGCACAGGTATTTCCAACGCGTCAAGGATTGACAAAGGCTTATCACATCTAAAATCGGGTGAAATGTATACAAACAATTTTTAAAGGTATTGAAGAAAATTGAGGAAATAACTGATAGTATAATGGGAAAATAAATCACAGAAATGGATTTATTGTGGCGGATTTGCTGCACATAGCGCACAGCTGTTCGAATGATAACGTTTTGTATCTGTCCAACCATCCTGTGTTGCATGTGAAGTCAAGGCACACATGAACACACTAATTGAGCATCAGCAGTAAGTTTACACACAATGGCTGAGATTCCCCTCTCAATCGGACTCTTGAAGGAATGTGGCTCTTGGAAAAAGGGTGTGAACAAGCTCCTGTACTGAGGGTAGTGTATTTTTGGCTAGGACAGTTGTTTTGAGAAGACAAACAAGAGGTCTAGTGCACACACTGAAATAATAGGCCAGTGACGCTGTTCACAGGTTTTTTTCCTTTAAAAAGAAAATTTTGTCAGGCAATTATAGCAGCGAAGGTTGCTGTTAAAAGGGGTTATTTGTTTTGGAAAAATTCAGTTACACAAGCTTAGGTTTCTGTAAGGCGGATGTTGCTCTTTTCTAGGTTGCAGTTAAGTGGACACCACTGTACAAAGAAAATATTGCTGTTCAGTTGGGGAATGTCATATAATACAAGCTATTCATGATTTCGAGTTTTGAGTGTTTGTGTTGTCTACCTGTATTTTTTTGCATCAAATAAACCTTAGTCTTGCTGTTCTATTGTATGGTGATTTCTGTTATGATCATGTATGGAAAGGGTTCTTTTAGCAATTAAGGGTACATTTAGCAATTAAATGCTTGTTCAAAAGTTGTTTAGAGTATATTCTGTTTGTTCTTTATCTTTGTCTGTCTCTTTGGAGTTCTGTTTAGAATATGTTCCCCAATGTGTATTTTTTCTATTTGTGTCTCAGAGCCATGGAGGCTGTGGTCGTTACCAGCCCAGCATCAAGCGCAATGGCTTGGAGCTGATAGCTGAATGGAAGCATATAAACGAAGAGTCACAGGAGCGCAAGATCACTGTGTCGGCAGAGCGTGTCCTTGAGGTCTTCAAACGCATCACAGATGAGGAGTGCATAGTTCTGGGTATGGACCCAAAGTGGGCTCGACCCGACTGGATGATTGTCACAGTGTTTCCAGTTCCCCCTCTGCCTGTGAGACCGGCTGTCGTCATGTTTGGTTCTGCAAGAAATCAGGTAGCTGTCTTTTGTTAGGGTATTTTTGTTAGATTTTGTGGATTAAATGGAATGCCTCTTTTGAGATGTTATTTTAAATGTGAAGCATTTGACCCCCCTTGTAAGAAGAACACAGCAAAGAAGAATTACATATAGGAAAATAAGCAAAACTCAGTTGTAGAAAAGGGTTACCATTCAACTGAAAAAGTGACAAATAGCCAGGAATTTCATTTTTAGATTTCTTGGTCTCGAAAAACCCCCATAAAAATGGATGAAAGGGAAAATAAGTGGAAGACCGCAGGGAAATGAAAGGGCTTCCCAATATTATGAATTTTTCTGAATGTTTTTCTTTTTTTTTCAAATTTTACTGAAACCCATTCCCACCTTCCTGGTGTAAAAGTCAATACGTCAAGTGCACCTGTCTAGTTTTAACACACTCAAGTCCGTTTAGTAGCTCAATGCCACATGCTTTTAGAAAGACATTGGTGCCAGAGCCAGGTGAAAGTTGAACATTAATTTGACAAAAGCTGGTAAAAACTTCCTGCTGACCTTTTTTCGTTGTGAGCATTTGCCTAGGCCAGTGAGAGAATTTATAACAGAATCGATAAAAAATGCCAGTCTGCCCAAAAAGGTTTTCTGGGCTTACAACATTTGAACAGCTTGTTGTTGTTTTTATATTTGACCTCGTTTTCAGGATAAGTAAAAAAAGGAGTTTCCCCTTTTTCTTTTGATGGTTACAATATTTGTATTAATATACTTCTCTTTTACTCCAGCAAGAGAAGAAAATATTATAGGTGAGTTGTTGTCTTGTGTCCTCAGGATGACTTGACCCACAAACTGTCTGACATTGTCAAAGCCAACAACCAGCTCCGGCGCAACGAGCAGAACGGAGCTGCTGCCCATATCATCTTGGAGGACACAAAGATGCTGCAGTATCACTGTGCTACACTGGTTGACAACGAGATGCCAGGACTGCCAAAGGTACTTTTCATCCATGTGTTGCCGATAGGCTGTTTTGTTGCTGTAAAATTAATATGTGTCACGATTGGGTGGAATCAGGCACTCCTCAATTTTTGGGCACATAGATCTTGGGTCTTCCAAGAAAAGAAAACTCTAAAGAGAGCTTGATTTTTTAATCAGACTTGTTTATTTGTAAATATTGTTATGGATTTAAGTTGAACATACACTGTCAAGTTATTTAGATCAAGCTATTATACTGTTATGGGTTTTCAGTACAAGGGAGAACAGCATGGCCTTGGATTATATTGAATCTACACGTTATTGTTGCAAACGAGCACGAGCAGAAAAAAAGCTGAACATTATTTAACTGTCAAGTTATATAGATCTAGCTACAATACTACTACTATTGGATGTACAGTTAAGGTACAAGGGAGAAATCATGGCGTTGGATTTACATGGATCAACACAAACAGAAACTTATGTATTCAAGGTATGTTTTTTAAAATCGTTTATTTTTGAATTTATGCTTGAATAACAAGAAATGACATTTAGGGTGCCCCGAAATAAAAAAAAATCTCAAACGTAAGTATCCCCCCCCCATTTTTGTTTTATACATTCGTATGTGGCTGTAATGAAAGGGATTGATCTGTGGGGCTGCCGGTGAATTGAACGTTATTTTCCTTCACAGGCTGTCCAAAAATCTGGCCGGCCACTGAAGTCTGTGAAGCAGAGGTTGAAGGGCAAAGAAGGTCGTGTGCGTGGTAACCTGATGGGTAAGCGTGTGGACTTTTCGGCTCGTACTGTCATTACCCCGGACCCCAATCTACGAGTGGACCAGGTCGGTGTGCCCAGGACCATTGCACAAAACATGACATTCCCAGAGCTTGTCACCCCTTTCAACATTGACAGGTGAGAGGAGAGTGTGGCTTTGTGATGGTTGTTATCTTAATTATGGTTGATGAGTGGGGTGTTTTTTTTTGTTTTGTTTTTTTCTTCTTCCCCCCCCCTCTCATTGGTACGGTTGTGTCCTGATGGAAAGTTAAAGTGTGGTAAATTAATTCAAGATGTTCTTTGAAGACAGGAATAGTATCTTAATCATGTTTATTTATTTGGGGAAAGGTTTATTGAATTTTGATTTGTGTTTTAATGAATATTGAGGCAGTTTCAATAATCAGACTGTTTTGGAAGGAATAACATATGAGAAGATTTGTTTGCAGATGTAGTAGAATCAAAATGTATCCTGAAAGGCGGACTATTGATGGTGTTGTGTTTTCCAACAGTTCATATATCGGTGCTGTGGGGTGATGCCTGTCTTAAGGCGGTCTTCCTGTGATGAGAATTCACTGTCTGAATGTTGTGAAGATTTCTTGTCAGACACTCTAATTTTTTTCTCTGAGGATCAGTCAGCCCACCTGGGAAAGAATGGCAGTCGAGCGTGTATGTGGTTTCTCTTATGTGAAAGTGGAGTTTGTAATAATGCACGCATGAAGACAGTTTTACATCTCTTGGATTTCGCACAAATTTGCTAAGCCTGATTTTTTAAGGTCAGTTTTGGGTGACCAAATCTCAGGCATCTCTTAACGTAGATGAAGTATTAATGTGCCGGATGATGCACAATTTATATGGCTTTAAATTTGTATGTTGCAGGAGGGTGTAGTGCAAGGGTTTAACAGGATGCTTGGGTTGTTACATTTTCAAGTTTCTGTTGGGTGCCACTGTATGTATAGTTTGAAGTCTATATAAATTGAAATCGCGTGACAGCTGGATTTTCTTCTGTGTAGCCATGTTTCTGGGCTTCAAGAGATTTCTTACAGTGAAAAAAAACCCCCGGAAGTTTATTGCTGCTTTAGAACACTCAGAAACATTCTAGGCTTCCCTGGAAGCATGCAGTACAAACTGCTTATCAAACGCTGATGCGCTAACCTTTTGCTCTCTATAACAGGGTACCCATTTCGACCTGGGTGAAGTGAAACATTTTTTGAAAGTTTTCCCAGAGACAACGTTGGTACCAAACGAGTTTAAACCCATGTCTATTTGGTTGCGAAACCCAACAGCCTATGTACTTGACAAACGGTACTACTGTACTTTTGTAGATTGCATCCTGTGATGAATATTACATGTTGACAGCTGCAATGATAGCAGAACACTACTCTAATTTTTTCTCTGAGGATGCTGTTCGTTTAAGAGCAAATGTGTTTAACGTGTATGTGCCTAGTGACTGTGATCTTCAGCCTGATCTGTCAGAGTTGTTGATAATAATTGGGCAGTGGGTGATTAGAGGGTGCCGCTGGTGGTTTCAGCTTCCTCTCTGCTTCTGTTTGTCTTACTGTTTCCCAGAACGCAATTGAGTAACGTTCTTTTGCCCGAGCGCTTGAGTAGTATTGAGCTTTGCATTGTTTCTGTTGGGCGCCACTGTATGTATAGTTTGAAGTTTGTATAAATTGAAATCGCGTGACAGCTGGATTTTCTTCTGTGTAGCCATGTTTCTGGGCTTCAAGAGATTTCTTACAGTGAAAAAAACCGGGGGGGTTTATTGCTGCCTTAGAACACTCAGAAACATTCTAGGCTTCCCTGGAAGCATACAGTACAAACTGCTTATCAAACGCAGATGCTCTAACCTTTTGCTCTCTGTAACAGGGTACCCATTTCGACCTGGGTGAAGTGAAACATTTTTTGAAAGTTTTCCCAGAGACATAACGTTGGTACCAAACGAGTTTAAACCCATGTCTATTTGGTTGCGAAACCCAACAGCCTATCTACTTGACAAACGGTGCTACTGTACATTTGTAGATTGCATCCTGTGATGAATATTACATGTTGACAGCTGCAATGATAGCAGAACACTACTCTAATTTTTTCTCTGAGGATGCTGTTCGTTTGAGAGCAAAGGTGTTTAACGTGTATGTGCCTAGTGGCTGTGATCTTCAGCCTGATCTGTCAGAGTTGTTGAAAATAATTGGGCAGTGGGTGATTGGAGGGTGCCGCTGGTGGTTTCAGCTTCCTCTCTGCTTCTGTTTGTCTTACTGTTTCCCAGAACGCAATTGAGTAGCGTTCTTTAGCCCGAGCGCTTGAGTTGTATTGAGTTTTGCATTGTGCGCTCGCGAGCAGTAAAACATCGAGTAGTGTACAGCACTAGCCATTAGTAGGTACTTTTATTCTCTTCCTGCGTTGTTTCCGTTCCTCTTGCTTTTTCTTTCTCTGTATGACTTGTTATTGTGCTTGTCTTTCGTCAAACAAAGAGATTTTCTCAAACTTTCTAATAATTAGGCCTTATGTGTGGGTGCTGTCCTTTCCAGAATGCAAAGCTTGGTGCAGAGAGGGGCTAACCAGTACCCTGGTGCCAAGTATATTGTCCGAGACAACGGAGAGCGCATTGATCTCCGGTTCCACCCAAAAGCCAGCGACATATATCTACAGTATGGCTACAAGGTGAGTTATTTTTTTATGCTGTCATAACTGTTCGTCCATCATGAACAGATGATGACCTTCAGCATCCAAGGAGGAAGAGAAGTTATGGACCTTCCAGTAGCAAGTTTAGTAGAGAGAAAAGTAAAAGAAATAATGGCAAGTACTTGTTACATTCGCAAATGCCACAACTCGCCACTGATAGCAGCCTTGTACATATTTTTGAAGCCATGGATTTTGAGTCTGACAAGGGGATATGGCTAAGGTGGATGAAAGTGAGCCACGGTCCTGTGATGAAATAATTGTTCTGACTCTGTGATTGTTACATTCAAACACTCTAATTTTTTTCTGAGGACTTCATCTGTTGTCAGGAGTAACCGGCTTGCTCTAGGATTTTTAAGGACACAAAATTTTGATGCAGAAAGCTTTTTTCAAATAAGTGAACTTGCATATTGCCCTCTGTGCTTGCAGATCCAGGTCATGGCACCGGGTGTTCTTTGCCCACTTTTCCTATTCCCCATGTGGTTTCTAGGCTAAGGCTTGCCTTGTGGTGCATTCGTTATAGTAAAGTTTCGTATTATCACTTAACGTTGTTTTACGAAAGCTACCTTGCCCGTTGCATTCAATTTTTATTTTAAAGGAGGGGTGGGTGGTCAGAGGGTGCCACTTGTAGGTCATGTGTGAAAGTTCGCCGGTATATGCTGGCCCCGCCGCTTTTTTAACCTCGACAGACCTAGGTCTGCCGTTTTTTTTAGTTGGGGTTGGCACATACGTGTGTAAAAACTGGCAGGACAGTAAGTCCTGACAAAGCCCCCATCCGCTCTGGGCAGATGAATATGTTAAAACCTGTTGTTTTTTAGTCATAGTGACTCATAGCTGTCACATTCTGCTAGATAGTGGAAACCCCCGCTAGGCTACCTCCGCTTCATCTAGCTTTTCCCGCTACTTTCCTCCTTCCGCTGGACCGCTCTCGGGCGCAAATTGGATACTTTTTTTACATGCGGAAAACACCAATCCGGGAGCGAGTCGAAAACGCGGCTTGCGCATGTCCGCCTGTAGCTTCACTTCCTACTTCCGTTCTGTGCCTAGTTTCTTATTGTTTATTGTGGAGCGACAGTGGCGACTGTCAACTGAGCATCGGGACGATGGCGTGCTGAGTTGTCATTGAAAACGATGGAAATACGAGAGAGATTGATGCAGAATACAAAAATTAAATAAATGGAGCTGGATTGAGAAAGAAGCAGACAGTGTGCGACTTCAACGGTTCATTAGAAAATTGAACAGGCCGGTTGCTGCACTTTGTGTTTGGTGCTATAAAAATCTGGTACAGTGGCCTATTTCCAGTACGGTACTACTCTACATCGTTGCACAAATCTAAAGTGTAAGAAATCTTTAAATGAGACTCTGTGTAAGGCTGGCAACAAACTCTGGATTTTTAGTCACCGAAATGGGTCAAATGCTTGTTAGTGAGCTTAGTGTCTTTTTTTTTTTTTTTTCCAAATACAGTACGGTTAACAAATATGACACTTTTCCCTTCCAAAAACATAGATGTTCTGAGATATTGCCTCTGGATCTCACTGGTTTTACTCCGGCCTTCGGAGGGCGCGCGCACGCCTTCGCGTGAATTTCCTCCTTTTTTAATATTCCTGAGTGGCAGCTATGTTTAGTGTGTGTCTTGTTGTCTTTGTCATCTTATCGTTCTGTACGGTGACTTTCAGGTTTTTGAAAATTCCCATCCTACCTCTTCGTGGGTGGTTGGCGGGAGCTCTGGTGTGGTTTGCTCCTTCTTTCCTGTAAAAATTCTATCGTCTCTATCTTCCCTCCATCTTTTTTATGTTTGTTACTCTCTTGTAACACCTCTAATCTTCGGCACTTATATGACCTTATTGTGTTGCAAGTGCCGTAAAACTCTTACTAAAAAAAAACAAAAAAACATCCTACCTCTTCAGGTTTTTTGATGTCTTTGAACTTTCACCCATGTTGTAGGTCCTACTTTTTTGTTTCTCTCTGTTATTTCTCTTTGTCTGTCTTACTCTTTCTCAGCACTGAATTATTGAGTGCTTGTGCTTCACTTTACTCAAACAAATTATTATTAGCTGGCCATGTTTTGTTCACTGCAAAAGGAAGGTTAGGATGTTAGGGAGAGGACATCAGTGTGTGGGTGACCATACTGATCTTTTTTCATATGTGGCAATGCGTGGTTGGTGTGTGCTCTGGTGGGGTTTGCTCCTTTAGTATTCCTGTCTAACATCTATTGTCTTTATTGTCTCTCCTCCTCTTTGTGTTTGCTGTTCTTTTGTAACACTTTTAATCTTCAGCACTTTTACAACCTTATTGTGTTGCAAGTGGGTGCTCTGGTGTGGTTTGCTTCTTCTTTCCTATCAAACATCTATCGTCCTTATCTCCCCTTCTTCTTTTTTTATGTTTGTTACTCTCTTGTAACACCTCTAATCTTCTGGCGCTCATACGACCTTATGCGGTTTCGAGCACTGTAAAACCTCTACTAGAGCTAAAAAATAATAAAAGATCTATCGTCCTTTTCTCTCCTCCTTTTTTGTGTATGTTACTCTCTTGTAACACGTCTATTCTTCGGCACTTATATGACCTTGTTGTGTTGCAAGTGCCGTAAAATGCTTACTAAAACAAAAAACTTATATGACCTATTATGTTGCAAGTGCTGTAAATCTCTTGCTAAAACAAAATTCACATGTATCCCCAGGTTGAGCGGCACATGGTTGATGATGACGTGGTGGTGTTCAACCGACAGCCAACCCTCCACAAAATGAGTATGATGTGTCACAGGGTCAAAGTTTTGCCCTGGTCCACTTTTAGGCTCAACCTCAGTGTGACGACCCCGTACAATGCTGATTTTGATGGAGACGAGATGAACCTTCACTTGCCGCAGTCCTTGGAGACTAAGGCCGAGATCTTCAACTTGGCGGCTGTCCCGAGGATGATCATCACACCCCAGGCCAACAGGCCTGTCATGGGCATTGTGCAGGACACATTGTGTGCTGTCCGCAAGATGACTAAACGAGATGTGTTCATCACTAGGGTATGAATGCACCAAGATTATCCCAAGTACCCGACCTGTCTGATCCCCCAATGGTCCTGTTTGGACTGAATCATCTCCTAGCTAGAGTCTAAATTTAGATCTACAGCAAATCGATCGTAAACACTATCGTCTGATTACTTATACCGTGTACCCATTGGGGGATTGGGTCTGGTCGGGGCAGTTTGCTAGCCAGACTGAGGGCGCAAAGCAGCTATCGTGGCAACTTTTGCTATTTTCAAATACAACTTTCTCCGGGTACAGGTTACCGTCATCCTTATTTGTTCTTGGTTAGGTTTTTATTGGGCTGACTATTTGTAAACTATGTCAGTTATTTGTGGCTTTTCAAATATGTCCCTAATAGCCTGGCACTGAGTATCAAAGCTTCCAACTGTAGCTATTTTGTGATGTCTTGTTGCAGGTGGCAGGAGGGTACCACAGCTAATGATACTACTAGTAGGTTCATATTTCCTTTCTTTCCCTTTTTTCCGCTTTTTTTTAAAATGCTTTCTCCTTGCAGACCTTTATTGTGTCGATGTACCTCTCATCACTAAACTCAAGCTGTGTGTTGACAAGTTGTGAATTTGATTGTTCAGGCTCAGATGATGAATCTGCTGATGTTCCTGCCCACATGGGATGGTCGTGTGCCGCAGCCGGCTATCCTCAAACCGCAACCGCTGTGGACGGGAAAACAACTTTTCTCGCTCATCATCCCTGGCCGTGTGAATTGTATCCGAACACATTCCACCCATCCCGACTCCGAGGACAACGGACCGTACAAGTGGATCTCGCCCGGAGACACCAGGGTAGGTAGCCTTCTGGGCACGTGTTCTACTGAAAGCATTTATCAGTGATGTCATTTTTATATATTTCAGGCCCCCCCATTATTTTCGAATTTTCACTGAAATCTTCCTTCCATAATTCTCATTTGTTGTTTTTCTGTTTCTGAACAGTTATTTTAGCATTTGCTTTCTGTTTGATTCCGTATTAGCCGTGGCTACTAAAAGTGTTGTTTTGAAAATGCAACTGCGTAAATTTTGTTATTTTCAAGGGTTTTGGGAAATGTTTTCCTAGAGGAAATGGCAGTTCTTATAAGGTTAGGAATGATAGTTGAAATTGTCCCAAGATGGTCACCCATTGCTGAGAAAAATCTATTGCCTTAGACATATGGACATATTAGACAGTGTCATTATATTTTTTAAAAAGCAAAGCAGGAAATGTAAGTGCTTTCTGTACTTCACCTGTAGAAAGTTTACTGGCAGAAGCTCACAAACCATCTCTAGATCTAGAAGTCTTAAAAAAACCACCTCAAAAGTCTGCAGACTAGAACTACATACCTTAAAACATATAACCAACTTATAAACAGATATCCTCAATCAGACAAACTTTTTACAGATTGATAAAAAAGTGACACCTCGGTTGGAGCTGCTGCCCTTGCAGAGCCAGATAGTTTACGCCTAAGAAAACTCCAGCCAGAAACCTCAGTCTATAGTTCTGAGGCTGCCTCTCTTGAAATAGCCCTTGATATAATAAAGTCCACCAGGTCGTATTTTCTCATTCTTCAGACTCTTTTCTCCTGTCTGAAACTTTGAGAGCACTCTTAACACCTTTGACTCTAAAATTGTAAAACTTCTAAACTTCATTTTTTATGTCTCTCTGTCAAAGCAGTTTCAATAGATTGACTTCCAAGCCATGTAGGTATTGACGGCAATGGGAATGTTGACCGATTTGCCAAAGAATCTGTAAAACTACCTGAAAACAAAGTTAGGCATGCGACATTAAAACATGTTTTTTGGCGCCCACAAATCTGAGTCGATGGTGCCGTAAAACACCTACTCCATCTATCAAATCAAATCAAACCAAAATTGATCAGATTTGACTTCTGGTATATTCTATTCCTTGAAGAGAGTGGAACCAAATAATTAAGATTAGAGACTTGTTACATGTCCTGTCGGTTTCTCTTGTTTTTGCAATAGTCAAGCCAACAGCTAATAAAGAAACCCCTCCCCCCTCTGTTTACATTAACACTTATCATCTCTAGGAACACCTTTGGCAGTTATATGACCAAATTGTGTTGCAAGTCCCGTTAACCTCTCCCAAAACCTAAAAACTCTTAAGTGGGTGGTTGGCTGGTGCTCTGGTGTGGTTTGCTTCGTCTTTCGTATCAAACATCTATCGTCTTTATCTCCCTTCCTTTTTCGTGTTTGTTACTCTCTTGTAGCACCTCTAATCATCGGCACTTATGTGACCGTATTGTGTTGCAAGTGCCATAAAACACTTATTAATACTAAAAAAACTCTAATCCCACAGGTGTTGGTAGAAGATGCGGAGTTGGTGAGCGGCATCGTGTGCAAGAAAACCCTGGGTACATCTGCAGGATCACTGGTGCACATTGTGTTTCTGGAGATGGGCTACGAGATTGCTGGAGAGTTTTACGGGAACATCCAGACCGTGATCAACAACTGGCTCCTTCTGGAGGGACACAGCATTGGTATTGGGGACACCATCGCCGACCAGCAGACGTACCAGGACATCCAGGACACCATCAGGAATGCTAAGGTGAGGATTGATGTCATTACTTCTCCGAGTGCCAGATCTAAAATGGACATGGGCAGTCATAGTCCATCACTCATTTTTCTGCACGGATTTTCAGGTTTGCCAGCGTCTGTGGTGTAGTTAATAGGTGTTTTGCTGTTGCACACGGGACACCCGAGTTTGATTTCCAAGTGGGAAGAATTTTTATCGAGTATCTAGGTCTCTCTGCCATGGTTATCCCTGATAGGCATGGTTGAAGCCGGCATTATAAATGATCTAAATCATGTCAATGGGGGAACGTTTAACTCTAGAAGCGCACAGGGTTTCACCAGAAGTAAGGTAGCCTGGCTCCCGCCCTTTATGTAGAGCCTGCGTGCTTCCAGGGTGAAGTTCCTACACAAAAAATTTATTGCGGTCATTTCTTGTCACTAATTTGTTAAGTTCTTGTAGTAAGTTACTTTTCGTCTAGCAGGACCCTTTGTTGTATTCTATTTTACAGTGGTTAAATAAAGACAGCAGCTAAATTTTCTGCCTATTTTTGCAATTTGGATTACGCAAGACAAAGGGATGCACAGAAGCCATTTCTGACCAAGTGAATTTCGGACTCCGGTAGTTGTAGCTTGGGGATAAAACCAGTAGGGGTGAAAATGAAGACGTCCTGTGATGAAATAATTTTTCTGACTCACTGTGATCGTTACTCTCAAACACTCTAATTTTTTTCTGAGGACTCTTCTGGTGTCATTTACCAGCTTGCAGTGAAAAGTGCAACTTTAAAATCTTTTTTGAAATGGAGGAAAGGTTAAAATTGTGCTGAAGACGTAGTTCTTTTTTTGTGAACATGTTTAGAGCCGTTATATGAACCCAATTGCTTGTTTTGTTTTTTTTGGTTTTTTAAAACTGTTTTCTTCTTAAAAGTCTTGTCTTGGGAAGACAGTTTGATATAATTAACTATATTTATATTATGGTATATGCCACTAGGCCAAGGACATCTTCTGGTTATGATATGCTTTGCTTTACGAAAAGTAACTGCGTTGTTCCAAAAGTTTAATTAAGTGCATTTTCCCTAAAATTGATAATCTCCTCTTGCCCATTTCCCAAAAATTCTGAGGAGGGTATCGATTCTGAGCATCCAGTATATTTCTAGTTCTTGCGCTGGTTTTGTACAACTAAAATATACTCCTAGAATTTTAATGGTTGGAACAACCTGAATTGGAAATTTGTCTATAGTTATGGCTTGGCCATTTGTACACATGGCGTAAGATTTATTCAAATTTAAATGCACATCTGAAATGACAGAAAAATCATTCAGAACGGCCATCATGGTTCTTCTCGAATTTTTTTGCAAATTTTTGAACGCTCAACCTTCTGGATATTTATAAAAATGTGCAATTCACTCATCAGTTTCATGTAAATTTCTGACTCGGATATTTTCAGTTGTAGCTTGGGAATAAAAGAAAACCAGTGGGGGTGAAAATGAAGACGTCCTGTGATGAAATAATTTTTCGGACTCACTGTGATTGTTACTCTCAAACACTCTAATTTTTTTCTGAGGACTCTTCTGTTGTCATTTACCAGCTTGCAGTGAAAAGTGCAATTTTAAAATCTATTTTGAAATGGAAGAAAGGTTAAAAATGTGCAGAAGACGAAGTTCCTTTTTTTGTGAACATGTTTAGAGCCATTATATGAACCACATGCACGTGCTGTTTTTTTTCTTTACAGTTTTTTTCTTAAAAGTCTTGTCATGGGAAGACAGGTTAACATAATTGACTATATTTATATTATGGTATATAATATATGCCTCTAGGCGAAGGACATCTTCTGGTTATGATATGCTTTGCTTTACGAAAAGAAACTGCGTTACCCATTTTCCAAACATTCTGAGGAGGGTATCGCTCCTGGGCTTCCAGTTTTCTTCTAGTTCTTCCACTGGTTTTGTACTACTAAAATATACTCCAAGAATTTTAATGGTTGGAACAACTTGAATAGAAAATTTGTCTATAGTTATGGCGTGGCCATTTGTACACATGCCGTAAGATTTATTCATATTTAAATGCAGATCTGAAATGACAGAAAAATCATTCAGAATGGCCATCATGGCTCTTCTCAAATCTTTTGCAAATTTTTGAACGGTCAACCTTCTGGATATTTATAAAAATGTGCAATTCACTCATCAGTTTCATGTAAATTTCTGATTCGGATATTTTCAGTTGTAGCTTGGGAATAAAAGAAAACCAGTGAGGGTGAAAATGAAGACGTCCTGTGATGAAATAATTTTTCTGACACACTGTGATTGTTACTCTCAAACACTCTAATTTTTTTCTGAGGACTCTTCTCGTGTCATTTACCAGCTTGCAGTGAAAAGTGCAACTTTAAAATCTTTTTTGAAATGGAGGAAAGGTTAAAAATGTGCTGAAGACTAAGTTCTTTTTTTGTGAACATGTTTAGAGCCGTTATATGAACCCAATTACTTGTACTGGTTTTTGTTTTTTTATACTGTTTTCTTCTTATAAGCCTTGTCATGGGAAGACAGGTTTACATAATTAACTATATTTATATTATGGTGTATATGCCACTAGGCCAAGGACATCTTCTGGTAACGATATGCTTTGCATTATAAAAAGAAATTGCGTTATTCCAAAAGTTTAATTAAATGCATTTTCCCAAGCATTGATAATCTCTTCTTGCCCATTTTCCAAAAATTCTGGAGAGGGTATCGATCCTGAGCATCCAGTATATTTCTAGTTCTTGCGCTGGTTTTGTACTACTAAAATATACTCCAAGAATTTTAATGGTTGGAACAACCTGAAGTGGAAATTTGTCTATAGTTATGGCTTGGCCATTTGTACACATGGCGTAAGATTTATTCAAATTTAAATGCACATCTGAAATGACAGAAAAGTCTTTCAGAACGGCCAACATGGCTCTTCTCAAATCTTTTGCAAACTTTTGAAAGGTCAGCCTTCTGGATATGTATAAAAATGTGCAATTCGCTCATCAGTTTCATGTAAATTTCTGACTTGGATATTTTCAGTTGTAGCTTGGGAATAAAAGAAAACCAGTGGGGGTGAACGTCCTGTGATGAAATAATTTTTCTGAACCACTGTGATTGTTACTCTCAAACACTCTAATTTTTTTCTGAGGACTCTTATGTTGTCATTTACCAGCTTGCAGTGAAAAGTGCAATTTTAAAATCTTTTTTGAAATGGAGGAAAGGTTAAAAAATGTGCTGAAGACTAAGTTCTTTTTTTGTGAACATGTTTAGAGCCGTTTAATGAACCACATGCATGTGCTGTTTTTTTTCTTTAATTTTTTTTACTGTTTTCTTTTTATAAGTCATGGGCAGACAGTTTTATATAATTAACTATATTTATATTATTGTATGCGCCATTTCAAGAAGTGCTTGAAAAATTATGTACTGTTTAATTATGTTTAATTTTGTATTTGTTATTTTGAAAAAGTTAGGCTCTTTTTATTATATTTTAGCCAGAAAGTAATTTAAAAAAACAACAAAAAAAACCATTTGAAATAAATACAAATAAACACAAGTAAGGACATAGAAAATCCTTCTCTTTTTTTACCTGTTCGAAAAATTGTTGTTTCATGATTAGTAAAAATCTATTTTTTTCCTTTCCCAGAATGATGTGATAGAGGTGATTGAGAAAGCTCACAATGACGAACTGGAGCCCACGCCCGGTAATACCCTCAGGCAGACTTTTGAGAACCAGGTGTGTATGTATTGTATTCTCTCTCTCCCCTTCTTCTTTTTTATGTTTATTACTCTCTTGTAACACCTCTAATCTTTTGGCGCTCATATGACCTTATGCAGTTGCGAGCGCCGTAAAACTTCTACTTTAAAAAAATGACACTGTCCACTATACTTATTTGTTAAGACGACCACTCTTCTCCTTGACAAAGGGTGGCTGTTCTGGACTATTTTGACTGGATTTGCCTTTTGCTTATGTACTTAATCATGGTGGAGTTATTCTGTTCCTTTCCAGCACTTTGTCCTTTGATGAACCGTGATATATGACATTTGAGTGTGATTTTCTTTCACAAACACTCTAATTTTTTTCTGAGGACATGAAGAAGTATTAGGGGGACAGATGATAATATACACTGTGCATATGTAAGAATTTTATACTGCTGCAAACTTAGTTTTTCATCGTAATACTTTTATCTCTATGCACCTTCCAAGTGCACACTGCCAATCACATTCATCGAATTGAGACGGGCCTGCCAGGTTTGCCTTCATGAATAGGGCAAAAGCAAAATAAACAAGTTTTATTTTAAAGGTTACAGTCGAGTTTAGTTGAATCCGGTTGTATTGTTCTAAATTGGTATTTTTTTGCCTTATCTAGAAGGAAAATCTGGCTGGTGTGGGTAAATCCAATGACTCCGATTGGAAGTGTTCACAGAGTATTAAATGGGGGAAGGTTGAAGGGTGTAAAAAGGTGGTCAGTTCTATCCACTCGTGTACAGCGTTACTATCATTCTGTTTGAGAAGAGAATGGAGCAGGAAGAGGAAGGCCGACTCTGGCCTACCTGACCTCTTCCATTTTCCTGTATTATCGTTGTCTATTTTTTCAAAGCAGTAAATGACAGGTGGTTGGCGGGCGCTGTGGTATGGTTTGCTTCTTCTTTTTTATCAAACATCTATCGTCATTGTCTCTCCTTTTTTTTTTTTTTTTTTGATGTTACTTTTCATATATCTCTAATCTAATTATGTTTCAAGTGCTATAATATGTTTATATTGATTGAAAGATGCAACACCACTCTTACTTTGTGAATGTGCTTGGTGACCTATTCCCTGTATTATTTGGTCTCCAGGTGAACAAGATCCTGAACGCTGCTCGTGACAAAACTGGTAGCAAAGCCCAGCAATCTCTGTCTGAATTCAACAATTTCAAAGCTATGGTGGTCTCTGGCTCAAAAGGGTCCAAGATTAACATCTCTCAGGTGCGTTGGTTCATAAAATAACTTGAGTCATCAGTGCGTATACACAGGGCATGCTGTCTGTCACCTTGGCCTTGTTAGTCCGTTGATGCCTCTCTCTTTGCTACAACAGGCCTCCATCTTTGTGTAGAAGTTGTGATTTTTTCCTTGAGGTTTATGAATTAGGAGAGGGGCAATTTGTGAGGACTGTTATTAACGTTTAAACCCATTTTTCACACTTTGTCAAAGCGCAGGCAAAGATCCAAAACTTAAAAAAGAAACCACAAAATGTAGCCAATTGTTATAGTGTGTATTTATGTGTGTTTGTTTCTGTTTGCATTAGATTGTTATTTGACGTGGCTAATTTTTTTATTCCTCGGTTGTTTTTGTTCAGTGTTAAATTTCAGTTGAGTCAACACGCTTTTCGTTCAGTTAATCTTTTTTAAATTACGGTCCATTTTTTGTTTTTGTTCCCAGTGCTAAAGGGCTGTATCAGTATGCTTGTATCTTGCTGAAATATTCCTTCTTTTTATCTGATAACCATTGGCTTTGTCCTGCTGTGAGTTGGAAGGTGCTCTGGTGTAGTTTGTGCCATATCTCCTTTCAAATATCTATTTTCATGATCTCTCCTTCTTTTCTTTGTATGTTCCTCTTAGGTACCACTAGTCTTTGGCACTTATGACTTATTTGTGTTTTAAGTGCTGTAAACTCTTACTAAAATGAAAACAAAGTGACCAGCTACATGTCTGTTTTGCTCTTGTCCAGGTCATTGCATGTGTGGGTCAGCAGAACGTGGAGGGAAAGCGCATTCCGTTCGGCTTCAAGTATCGCACACTGCCGCACTTCATCAAAGACGACTATGGTCCCGAGTCTAGAGGGTTTGTGGAGAACTCGTACCTTGCCGGTCTGACCCCTTCGGAGTTCTACTTCCACGCCATGGGAGGCAGAGAGGGTCTCATTGATACTGCCGTGAAGACTGCCGAGACTGGTGAGAGCGTGTGTGTTTGTGCATGTGTGAGACAGACAGACAGACAGACGGGGGGGGGTACCTGTACCTGGGAATTTGAGGAAATCTGTTGCGCACTCATACCGATGTTATTGGCGTTATGGCTGGGTGATTTAACGTAGATTTGAGCACGAGTCCTCGCAGCACAGTATGAAAGTCTCTTGGGCACTTGCCAGCCTTTTGGTCATGGGGCTAATGTCTGGCGATTGCATATATATTTTGCCAACAGGCCAAAGTGGCGTAGTTCCTATGAAGTCTCTCCAGGCGACTTAAGAATTATATTCCATTTTCTATAACGTAGACAAAGCCTACAAATAATAGCTTTCTCATAATCAGTGCAAATCAGAAGCATCGGCGACAAATACTAGGAATCGGCCGAATTCGTAGAGGTTTCGGAAAGAGATCATCAAGCAGTCACCGAGCGGATGCTGTGTGTAGTACAGTTTACCTCTGGCAGTATGTGGGGGCAAATTTACATTAGTTTAATAAGGACCGTACAACTCGGACTGTTGACAAATGCCAGTGTTTACATGCTGACTGCCAGGCCCCTTGGGTGTATGCGTGTGTGTATGCCAGTGTGTGTGCATGTGTGAAACAACAAACCCAATGTGCCTGCATCTGGACAATAAAAATTGATTCTATCTTATCTTACGACATTAACATTAACGATTACCATTGCATCTGTTCTGTGTGAAGGGTACATCCAGCGTCGTCTGATCAAGGCTATGGAGAGCGTGATGGTCAAGTACGACGGCACCGTGAGGAACCAGGTGGAGCAGCTTGTCCAGTTGCGTTACGGGGAGGACGGCCTTGATGCCTGTTGGGTGGAGTTCCAGGCCCTGCCCACGCTCAAACCCGCTGACGAGACTTTCAAGCGCAAATTCAGATTTGATGCCACCAATGAAAGGTAAACGGGGGGGTTGTGTGTGTAAATTTGAAGTTTCCTCAATCTATGAAATACTGCTTGCTGTTCAGGGATGCAGTCGAACCTGCTTTGATGACGTGCTGTCCAAGATGACCACCCATACGAACAACCACTTCCTACTTTCCCCCTTGCGTTTTTTTCTACATAATAGTAAAAATATTGTTCAAGAGAACCACCATTCAAAGATTGAGTGGTCATCATAGACTCGCAGGATTTGTATTTCTTTTACTTGGGGCCTGTACTTTGCTTTTTGACTTCGATGGAGTCACAGTGTACTAAACACAGTTAATCCAAAAACAATGATTAACTGAAAGAAAATAATATCCCCAATATTCTTATTTTTCTTTTTTTTTTTTTGGTAAGAAAACTATTGATTATTTGATTTTACTGGTTGTGGGCCTCATCACGAGTCATCATGGATGCTTCCCTTAGTGCGTCGGCTAAGATCCAGTTCGCGTTAGATTCCGCACTTTCTTACTCCTGGGCACAGGGGTTGTAGGCCGGGACTACTGAATTAGGCGACTTTCGAAGAAGATGTGCTATTTTTAAACTCAAAAATACTTTTTTTGTCTGCGTCATTGTTTCTGTCTGGTAGCCAGCCTTTTCTGTAACATTACTTGGTTGCTGTCGTGTCTACTTTTCTTTACTCAAATAAATCTCTTTTCGCCTGTTTTTTGTTTGCTTCTGTTTAAAGGTGCCGATTTTGCGGATAAATCTGTATTTCTGAAATTGTCCTGATTTGTATTTATTCATATCGTATTCTCTTTGAACATGTTATTTAACATTTTGCAGAAAATAGTCTTGATACAAGATGCATAAGACAATATGATCCATTTAGTTTGAGTCTTTGTGCGCATGTTGTCATGATGTTTGAAAAGATCGGGATTTTTGTATTTAGCAAGTTGGCACCTGTGTCTGTTCATCTGTTTTGCTCTTTCTTAGTATTAAATGACTGTTTTTGTATCTGTGAGCTTCTCTTTCCTCAACCAAAACAATGTGAGTGGTTGGCGGGAGCTCTGGTGTGGTTTGCTTCTTTTCTATGAAACATCTATCGTCCTTATCTCCCCTTCTTTTTTATGTTTGTTACTCTCTTGTAACACCTCTAATCTTCTGGCGCTCATATGACCTTATGCAGTTGCGAGTGCCGTAAAACTCTTACTTAAACTTAAAAACACCTCTAATCTTCTGGCGCTCATATGACCTTGTGCAGTTGCGAACACCGTAAAACCTCTTCTAAAACTAAAACAAAACAACTGCCACTGTTGCAGAGCCATGAGGAAGTGCCTGCAAGAAGATGTGATCAAGGACCTGATGGGGGATGCCAGCCTCATGGCCGAGCTAGAGCAGGAGTGGGAGCAGCTGCAGGAGGACAGGGTAGGCATTCGGCAAGTGTTCCCCACCGGAGACTCGCGCATTGTGCTACCCTGCAACATGAACCGCATCCTCTGGAATGCTCAGAAGATCTTCCGCATCAACAAACGCAAGCCCTCCGACTTGCATCCGCTCAAGGTCATAGAAGGTGAGGGGAACTGTTGATGGTGGTGGTGGTGGTTTGTTTTAAGGTGTATCTAAGTCTTGTTGTTACAGTCGAACATGCACTTACCGAAATTCGCAGGACGCTGAAATCTTCTTTTATGTATGTAGTTCACTCTGTACTTGTTTTAAATTCAAAGAATCTACATGTGTCAAAATTAACATTCGAGACCTGTGTTTGCTTTGTGCAGGTTCTCTAGGTATGTGCTAGACTGTATTTCTGTTTTGCAGTTTCTCAGCACTGTTTGTAGGTGGTTGGATGGTGTGAACTGCATTTACCTTTTCTGTTGTGGAAGATGTCCTGTGATGAAAGCTCCGTTCTGACTTTTTCCAGTGTGATCTGTACAACAAACACTCTAATTTTTTTCTGAGGACATTTTCACTTCTTTGTTTTTAGTGCAAAAGTTAGATGCATTGTTTAGATTTATTTGCTAAAATTGATGGTCATTGTTGTGCTGATAAAATGTTGTGTTGGTAAAAATTACTGTTAACACAAGATACAGGAAATTGCTTACATACACATGGGTGGCGAACTCCTAAGAGCATTATTGTTTTCAATATGTATAACGTATGTAGAACTGATGACTCCCTTCCCCCTGCTGGTAGCTGAAGTGTGCCACTGGTTGATATTACTTCTGTTCTTACAGCCAATTGTTTCTGTCTGTCTTTCCTTTTCCTAGCACTAAGTGCCTATTATTGTGTCAATGTTCTTCTCAAAACTCAAACAAACAACCTCTTTCCTCCCCTCCTTGTGGGTGGTTAGCTGGTGCCAAAGATAGTACATAACAAGATAGTTCACACCTCTTTTTGAGCCAAGTAAAAAAGGTCCTCTAAATCTGGTGACACCCTCTTCGAAAAAGCAAACCTTTTGCGAACAGTTGCCATACTTGTGTGAAACAAATCAAAGTGTAACTAACAAGTTTTTGAATAAATTAGAATTATAATTTCAAAAGAACGCTTTTTAAAAATGGTTACGCTGACAAAAAAACTCTTCCTGTGGAAGAGGCGACTGTTGTCTTCGTTTAATTTGACTTTAGAATGAGAGGCGAGAGGTCATTAAAATTTTTAAAAACCTAAAACTCTGCACTGAACGAACCCGAAGAGCTGATGAACAGCAGTCAAGGAGGTGCTATTCCTATTCTTCTGGAGAAACGAAAGAGAGCTTCAAAACAAAAGAATGCAGTGCCATCTGAAGCAATGAGCGGACTTCTGCGGACACTTTTTTGACCGATTGAACCTTCTTGTTATGTACTATCTTTGCTGGTGCTCTGGTGTGGTTTGCTCCCATATTTCCTGCACTTACATAAATGTCCTAATTGTGTTGCAAGTGCTGTAAAGCTCTAAGTTAGCTAAAACATTCACCTTTTCCGCAGTTGGTTGAAGGGTGCCAACAGTCGGTCGTTCTTCAGTTCTTAGGCCTTGTTGTTTATATGTCTTTTTTCCCCCCTGTATTAAATGCCCACTACTGTGTTGTTTCTCTTTATTCACCAGGCGTGCGAGAGCTGTGCAGCAAGCTGATCATTGTGGTGGGCGATGACCCTATCTCTCACCAGGCCAACGAGAACGCCACGCTGCTGATGAAGGCGCTGATCCGTTCTACGTTGTGCACCAAACGGGTGGCCGAGGAGCACTGTCTCACTGCTGAGGCCTTTGAGTGGGTCCTGGGCGAAATTGAGACCAAGTTCCAGCAGGCTATGGTCAGTTTGAGCTAGAAGCACTTGTGGCATTTATGAAAAAGCACTGCTATCTTTCTCATTGCTTCTTCTTTCCTATCAAACATCTTTCATCCTTATCTCTGCCCCTTTATTTTGTGTGTTTCAGTTACTCTCCGGCAGCACTTCTAATTTGGGGCTCATATGGTCTGTTTGTGATGCAAGTGCTGTTTAACTTCTTTTTAAAAAGCCCCCTTTTCTTCCTTAGTGCCAGATGGTTTAATCGTGTTGATGAGCTTTTGTTTATTCAGACTCAAACTCTTTCTGGGGGCTCTCATGGCCTAGAGGATAAGGTGTTGGCCTCTCATTCAAAGGTTCCAGGTTCGAATCCGGGTAGGGACAGAAAAAAAATTTTACCCTAAAATTGTCCCCTTCCACCCCCTTTCCTGCTCTCTAGCACTTTTGTCGTCTGCTTTTGTCTCCTCTTTCTGCCCTCACATCCTTTGCCCCCTCCTCTGGGCTCCTGACTCTTTCTGTAGCCTTTTTACTGCTACTCCTTGGCTCCTTCTTACAGTTGTCTTTCAGCCACACCCCTAAGTTTCTGGTTGGAAAGATCTACACCTAGCCTTCTTGGACAAGGGCGAAAAATCTCGAAGGGACCGTGTGCAAGTTGTGTGCGTTAAAGATCCCTTGGTGGTCTAAAATAGATAAGAGTAGGCTTCGGCCGCCACCGGGTCAAAATTCAAAATTTCCTACCAACTGAAAATATTAGGTGTATCCCGAGCGCTCATATAACCTTATGCATTTGCAAGCGCCGTAAAACACTTACAAAAAAACACACCAAAAAACCCTCTTTCCTCTCTCCTTTCCCTTCAGGAGCGTGTCCTAATTGTTTCTCTTCATTGTTTCTGTCCTACTTTTCCCTACATTGATGGCTGTTACTGTGGCGATGGTTGTTCTTCTTACTGATGTTTGTAGATAGTGGGCACTCTGGTGTGGTTTGCTCCTTCCTTCCTATCAAACATTTATCTTTCTTACATCTCTCCTCCTTTACTTTTCATGTTACTCACTAGTAGCACCTGTGATCTGTGGCACTTGTACGATATATATATGTATTGCAAGGGCCATAAACCCTTACTAAAATTCAAAACTTTCCTCAGGCTCACCCCGGTGAGATGGTGGGAGCCCTGGCTGCCCAGTCCCTTGGAGAGCCGGCCACTCAGATGACACTGAACACTTTCCATTACGCTGGTGTGTCTGCCAAGAATGTCACCTTGGGTGTGCCGCGTCTGAAGGAAATCATCAACATCTCCAAGAAGCCAAAGACCCCGTCACTGACTGTGTACCTATTGGGACAGGCTGCACGTGATGCTGAGAAGTGCAAGGATGTGCTGTGTCGTCTGGAACATACCACGCTCAGGCGTGTCACCGCCAACACAGCCATCTATTATGACCCTGACCCCATGAACACGGTCATCGCTGAGGATCAGGAATGGGTTAGTCGATGCACTTTTTTTCTTCCGGGGCTGATGGGGAGGTGAAGCAGAGACAGATGGAAAGGAGCTGCAGAGTAATGGTTTATAAGTTTAAACCTCTTGTAGTTCATTTTGTGACAAAAGTTAATATTTGTTAATCTTGAGAAATTCCAGGGAACATTATTTGCTGGTGTTGTCGATCAACTCGGTGACAGAAACTTGTTTTTATCGCGAAATGTATGCTTAGAAAATCAAGTCCTGACGTTTCTGGGAATGTTATCTTGCTAATTGTGCTGATGGTGGCATAATAGCAGTCGAACCTGCCATGACGGCCACCAGTACGAACGATTGGGACCTCAGAAGGGAATGACTTGTTTTCTTCATTTTGATCTTATACGGCCACTTTTGTCTTTGACATTGGGTGGTCGTCTTACACATTTTGGGCTATATTTATAGATTGGGGGGGGGGGGACTAAATGATCATTATTCCCAGGCTTTCCTTCTGTCTGTGGTGCGATGGTAAATTAATTGATTTATAGTAGCAATGGCAAGGGAAAGCATCTTTTAAATATTGCCAGAAAATCAAAGGAAAAACAGATGGAAAAATCGAACAAGACAAAACCTTGGTGAAAACAGGTATAAAGAGTTGTTGGTATTCTCTTCAAACAGGCTCTCAAATGCCACTTTCAGCCCTCTAAAATCACTAAATTTCAAGTTTTTCTTACTTTTCAGCTTCAGCTGTAGGAAGCATGCATGAGTGACCAAATTTTGAAGCTAAATTGTCACTTCCTAATTATTTCTTTTGAAGTAAAAAATGAATAGCCTTCTTTAACTAAAAGTTGAAAAGAAGATCCTGCTTCAACTAGATGTTAAGAATAAATAATCATCTTAAACTAGAGCAGAAATATAAGTGCTTCTTTTACAAGATCTTTAAAAATAAAGACCTACATTATTTTTCTTATTTTGTGTACCTTCAGGTGAGCATCTATTACGAGATGCCGGACTTTGATGCCTCGAGGATCTCCCCATGGCTGCTGCGCATCGAGCTGGACCGCAAGCGTATGACGGACAAAAAGCTGACCATGGAGCAGATCTCAGAGAAGATCCAAACAGGCTTTGGTGACGACCTGAACTGCATTTTCAATGACGACAATGCTGAAAAGCTGGTGCTGAGGATTCGCATCATGAACTCTGACGAGAACAAGTATCAGGACGTGAGTGGGCTTCTGTTTTCTCTTCTTGTTTTACATCCTTCTTATCATCATCATCAGTTTGTTTCACCCTTTGTTGACATCCACCCCTTTGCGCTTATTTGACCGTATGTCGTTGAGAGCGCCGTAAAACCTTATTTAAACAAGACAAAACAAAAACTTCTGCACTTGTGTTGAAGTGCCGTAAAACTCTTACGAAAACAGAAACTACTCAATGCATGGAAATTTGTTGAGAGACCACTACAAAATGGCTTACTTTGATGAATAACTAAGTAGTATCAAAGCTTATTTAAAAAAAATTATTTTTTTTGGTAAGTGTTTTACTGCGCTTGCAACTGTATAAGGTGGTATGAGCGCGCGGGACACATAAAAAAAATTTCAGTTGGTACGAAATTTTGAATTTTGCCCGGGTGGCGGCCAGAGCCTCGATTTTAGACCCTCAAGGGATCTTTTCCGCCCTTGTCCGAGAAAGCTAGGTGTAGATCTTTTCTACCAGAAGATCAGGGGTGTGGCTGAAAGACAGCAGTAAGAAGGAGCCAAGGGGTAGCAGTAGAAAGGCTGCAGAAAGAGTCAGGAGCCCAGAGGATGGGACACGTCACAAAGGAGGTGAGAGGGTGGGGGAAGAAAGTGGAGAAGAAAGCAGATGACAGAACATTGCTAGAGAGCAGGAAAGGAGGTGAAAGGAGAAAATTTTAGAGAAGAAAATGTTTTGGCCACTACTCTGATTTGAACCTGGGACCTTTGAGTAAGAAGCGATGAGAGCCCTCGTTGCTGTGTTTCTTGTTATTAGCATGACCAACTTTACTGAGCAACACATACTGGTGTTTGGGTGGTTGGCGGGGATGTGGTCTGCTCCTTCTTTCCAATCAAACACCTATCATCCTTTTTTCCCCTCCTTTTTTGTGTTTGTTACTCTCTTGTAACACCTCTAATCTTCGGCACTTGTATGACCTTATTGTGTCGCAAGTGCCGTAAAACACTTACTAAAACTAAAAACATATTGGCGTCTGTTCCAGGAGGATGAGGTGGTGGACAAGATGGAGGATGACGTGTTCCTGCGTTGCATCGAGGCCAACCTGCTCTCCGACATGTCTCTACAGGGCCTTGAAGCCATTGCCAAGGTGAGTCAAGGTGTTGACGGTACAGAGCACAGTCTAGCATGCATATAGGGGACATACACGGTCCTGAATTTTCCTTCCATGTGTATTCTTTGTATATGGATTCTTTGTAAAGCAAGTATAAAGAAAAAAATAGAACATTACGAAAAATTTCAGGACATTTTCAAAAAATTGTTTCTAAAAAAAACTAAAAGATATTGTCTTTCTGTATTTGTGTCCTATTGGGCATGTTAGATCTGTTATGTGTGAAAAAAGGGTGATTGTATGTCTTTGGAAAGGGTGTTGTTTGAAATATTGAAACACCTTGACATGGCCCAGTCTCCAGTGAGTTACGGTGTGGCCTGTATTGTGGTAAATGTTTTTTTTGTGTTTTTTTTAACTTGCTGCAGGTCTACATGCACTTGCCAACCACAGATGACAAGAAGAGGATCCAGATCACGGATGATGGAGAGTTCAAATCCATCACAGAGTGGATCCTTGAGACTGATGGTACCAGTCTGACCAAAGTGTTAAGTGAACGTGACGTGGATCCTGTGAGGACGTACACCAATGACATCATTGAGGTCTTTGATGTGAGTATTGGGGAGAGGGCAGGGGAAATGTGGCATGGGAGAAGGCTGGAAGTTGAGAATTGGTGGGGGGGGGGGTGTTTACCTGAATATTGATAGGAAGTTTTTTTGACCATGGTTGCCTTGAAGTGAAGAAGAGTTATAAAAGAGTAATTTATTGTTGTGGTTTATTGTAGATGCTGTTTTGAATGTGACCTGTCCTTCAAACATCAAAATTTCTCGCAAAATATTCATTGTACATGATTATGAAAAATAAAACCAATTACCCATGTATTCATAGTACTGAAAAATGGAGGGGAAGTTGATTCTAATTTTTTACCTTTGTGTCATGTTTAAGAGTGCCAGATTCTGGCCAAGGCTCACTTAACTTTGACTGTGGGTGGTTGGAAGATGCTATCCCACTTATTTTAGTTCCCCTGCTTTTTTTTTCAGCTTGTTCTATTTTGCTTTTACCAGCTCTTAACAGCTGCTATTGTGTAAATGTGCTTCTCCGTGAACTCAAACTTTGTCTTGTTTTCTGTTTCAGACTTTGGGTATTGAAGCTGTGAGAAAAGCCATCGAACGAGAAATGAACCATGTCATTTCTTTTGACGGCTCCTATGTCAACTACCGCCATTTGGCCCTTATGTGTGACATCATGACCTCCAAAGGTCACTTGATGGCCATCACCCGTCACGGCATCAACAGACAAGAAACTGGCGCTCTGGCGAGATGCTCCTTCGAGGAGACGGTGAGTTGATGCCCTTCATCTATGCTGCCCAGGATAGCTTCTGCTTTCTGGACCCGCTGGTCACATTGTGGCATTGATGGTATAGTTGTTGGGCTCAGCTGAAAAGTCATGGGTTTCAACCCCGTCAGGAGCCGGACTTTGTACCTTGGGAAAGGCACATAATATGATGAATTGTCCTCACTCACCAAGGTGGGAATTAGGTATCCAGCTATAGACCGTGAAAGAGCTTGTCAGGTTGTTAGTGTTTGAGCGCTTATGTTGCTGCTTGTGTTGTAACTGAGAATTCTAGGGTCTGCTGGGGTAGTAATATAGCGCATGAAATTTGCTTTCGAGTGGGGATATGCGCTGCGATACACGAATACTTTTCATTAGTAAGATGCTGTAGAGCCTGGATATGTGATATTTAATTTAATTATAATAATTCATTATTATGGTTTTACCATGGCACTCAGTCTTCCTCATCTAACATTTCATTTTGTTTTACCTCTGCACTGCAGACTCTAATTGTCATCAGATTGACTTTGTAGAATTTAACACTCATAGTTGCCACAGAATCTCCCTTTCCAATCTCCCTCCCAAAAAGAGGAAAAAGCCCATTTTAACATGTGGATTTGTGTGTGGTCCCCAGGTGGACATTCTTATGGAGGCGGCATCCCACGCTGAGATTGACCCGATGAAGGGCGTCTCGGAGAACATCATGCTGGGACAGCTGGCCAAGGTGGGCACTGGCTGCTTTGACTTGCTGTTGGATGCAGAGAAGTGCAAATATGGCATGGAGATCCCCACCAACCTGGGGCCAGGCATGCTCGGAGGTGAGTTTACAGTGGTTTGGGGGAGTGGGGGGGGTGTTGCATGACTGCTCTTCATTACAAATTTTATGGATTCAATCATTTTCTCAATTTTATGCAATGAAAATGGAATACTGGCAATAGAAATATGCCTTTTTCAATCCTTGAAAAACACAAATTTCAATCTAGCCATGCCAATTGAGCTTGCGTACGCAACCAAATTTTGGTCCCCGCTTGCTGGTGTATTTTTGGACCGGATTGGAACACGGGTGACTAACTTTCTCAGACTATGTCGGCTCTATTTCTGGACCAATATGAATGAAACTTGGCACCCAATCAGAAAATAGGGCAAACTAATATATGTGGACATTGAGTTTTGTACACATAATTTAGTCTGATGTTTTTGATCTCAGAAACACTTTCTTATTGGATATTTTGTAAACTACTAGAATTTGATTTTCTACGTCAAGAAGATAACAAAACTATCTTTTCTCTATCTTGTCCTCGTATTTTAAAGTTCTATGTCATATAGTTGTTGAGAATGGCTTTGCATGGAAACCGGGCATTTTTTCGTAGTCCCTCGGCAAACGTGTGTGACCTGAAAATCCCATAATTCTGAGCCCGTTCATTGGTCACTTGACATGGGGCGTGGGCATCCGGTTGTTTTTCTCTCTGTTCCCCTGTTGGGGTGGTTAACAATGGAAAGAATGTTTCTAATTGTTAGAATCAATTAAATTATATTTTATGGTTGGCATGGTCTAAAGTCATATAAGAAATTTTGCCATTATTTATCCACGCTGCCAACAACATAATCTTAAAGATCCCATGATATGATACATGTAAAATGCTCTCGTACTGACAGCCGTCTTTCTCAAAATAGTAATATATACACTACAATTTTAATTATACCAAAATAACTACAAAATGTTATTTTAAATCTGACTGCAGAAATGATTTCTCCATTGAGTTCTCACGTTTCTGTCAAATGCTCCAATTAATTACTGAAATGTCACTGATTTTCGTACAGAGTTTGGTAATTTGACTCTCTTTTTTGGGTAATATGTCTGCTGAGTACATTGTCCTTATCCCCTCTTCTCTCTTCCCAGGTGCTGGCACAGGCATGTTCTTCGGCTCAGGAGGTTCCCCAACCAGCTCTATGTCTCCTCTGATGACCCCCTGGGGTCAGGTCGGCACTCCGGGCTACGCGAGTGCTTGGTCGCCAGGCGTGGGCAGCGGCATGACACCGGGTGGCGCCGGCTTCTCCCCCTCTGGGGCCAGTGAGGCTGGACTCTCCCCCGGGGGATACTCCCCGTGGTCGCCCCAGCCAGGCTCTCCTGGCTCCCCCAGCTCTCCGTACATCCCGTCTCCCCGAGGCATCCAGTCACCCAGCTACTCCCCGGCCTCCCCTTCCTACATGCCCAGCTCGCCCGCAGTGCCCACACCGCAGAGCCCCAGCTACTCTCCGACCTCACCTTCATATTCCCCGTCGAGCCCCGGCTATTCGCCAGCCAGCCCGAAGTATTCACCTGCATCGCCTTCCTACTCCCCTACCAGCCCGTCCTACTCTCCTACGAGCCCCTCGTACAGTCCCACCAGCCCTTCCTACTCACCCACAAGCCCCTCTTACAGTCCGACAAGCCCTTCCTACTCGCCCACAAGCCCCTCCTACTCACCCACGAGCCCCTCCTACTCACCGACCAGTCCCTCCTACAGCCCGACAAGCCCCTCCTACTCGCCAACAAGCCCCTCCTACTCTCCCACAAGTCCCTCCTACAGCCCCACCAGCCCGTCTTATTCGCCCACCTCCCCATCCTACTCCCCCACCTCTCCTTCGTACTCCCCCACCTCACCCTCCTACTCTCCGGCAAGCCCAGGCTACTCCCCCACTTCCCCCTCCTACTCCCCCTCCTCGCCAAACTACTCTCCCACCTCTCCGTCTTATTCACCCACCTCTCCCTCCTACTCCCCAACCTCCCCCTCTTACTCCCCGTCGTCTCCATCATACTCCCCCTCCTCCCCCTCCTACTCCCCCGCCTCACCAAATTATTCCCCGTCCTCTCCCTCCTACTCTCCAGCTTCCCCGAAGTACAGCCCTTCCTCCCCCTCCTACTCTCCCACCTCCCCGTCCTATTCGCCATCATCCCCCCAGTACTCCCCTTCCTCTCCCAAGTACTCCCCGGCCTCCCCGCAGTACTCCCCCTCCTCGCCGCAGTACTCCCCAGCCTCCCCCTCGTACTCACCCTCCTCCCCCAAGTACTCCCCTACGTCCCCCCGCTACAGCCCTGCCTCCCCGGACTACTCCCCCTCCTCACCGCAGTACTCCCCGACCTCCCCGTCCTACTCCCCCTCCTCCCCCAACTACTCGCCTGCCTCTCCCTCGTACTCCCCCTCCTCTCCACAGTACTCCCCGACGGGGGCCACCTCCTCCCCTGTCTCCCCCAGCTACTCCCCCAGTAGCCCGGCCTACTCCCCCAACACCCCCCACTACTCTCCCACCAGTCCGCACTACGGCACCGATCTGGAGGACGAGGACGACCAGGCCTAGACGAGGTTGACACTCATTTTGGCTCACCTGACGCAATGACACACTTGTCCCACAGGAATGGCCGACACTCGTAGAATAGGGATGTGCTGCCACATTTACCATACAATACAATATGCACTGTGACACAGTGATATGTTGGCTCAGAATGTTGACCCACAGGACTGGCTGACGCTCGTAGAATAGGGATACGCTGCCACACTGTGACACAGTGATATGTTGGCCCACAGGACTGGCCGACGCTCGTAGAATAGGGATGCACTGTGACACGGTGATATGTTGGCTCAGAATGTTGGCCCACAGGACTGGCCGACACTCGTAGAATAAGGATGCGCTGCCATCCCTTGCCATACAATATAATATTCACTGTGATACAGTGATGTGTTGACTCAGAATGTTGGCCACGGACAGATGGTTTTTTTGTTGTTGTTGCATGTGACAAAACCTGATGTGGAATGTAAGTCTTGACACCCCACATCATGTTCTACGCACATATTCCGTGCCTGAACAAGACCTCTTATTCCCTTTCTGAACAAGACCTTTGTGGGAACTCGCAGGTTCCTGTCTACACCGGACAGCTCAAGCCGCACTATATTTTTCCAGAAGCCTTCTCTTGTGTAGAGTATACTTCTGTCCTGTGACAGAGGCATGTGTTCTGTTTGAAATGAAATGCCAGAGGTGCTGATTTTCCAGATGATCCAGAAATCTTCATTTTGCTGGGAGGTGTTTCCACAGGGAAGTGCTTGCGCTGGTCGATAGGTGTTGGGTCAGCAGCACCAAATAATGAATTCGCCCAGCTCATGTTTTGCATATGAGTTGGGCCATGTGACTGTCTCGGTGTGTATGCGTCTGGCTGTGCGTGATTGTAAGTGTTATTTGAGAGAATGCGTTGGGTCGAGTGTGCGATTGCTGGTCTTATACATTGAGCCTAAGTAAGGCAACCATTTGTTTCTTTATTAATAAAATATAAAAACAAATGTCTCGGTGCTGCTGTTTCTAACTGATGTTTGTTAAGATGGTAACTACTTGTAAAAGCAAGGTTTGTCTTTTTTTGCCTGTCGTTGCATTACCTGAATTTGGCTAAAATAGTTAAAAATTACCCAGAATCTACCTGGAAAAGGAAATTTTGAGGAAGGCCCCCATCCCCCCGTTTTTCCCCATAATTCAATGTTTTGCAATGAGGTTTGAAATTTTCTTGAAAGTAATTGATGAGAGTTTTAGTGGCCATATGCACTACTGAATATGCAGCAGTACATGTGTGTTCGAGGGTAAAAATTTACCAACTGCCCTTGTTCCTAGTTAGACCTACTTGTACAGGGGAGGGACAAAGGAACAGCGGGACTAGGCTCGGCCTACATGCGCTGAAAATGAGTTTTCGTCAAGGGACCCTCTTTTCACTATTACCGCTGGAGCGATGTTGAATCACAGTTGCTATGTTATGATTATTGTTATTGCTATTGTAAAATATTGTTTCATTTAGGTTTTTGATTTGTATAATTTGTGAAGTGGATTTTGACGATGTCAAATCATATGTTTTTGTCTTTGATGATGAAGATGAAGCAGATTATAATTTCAGTTTGTTGATCTAATTCTTGCGCTTTTTTGCTTTGTGATTTGATTCTTTGCAGTGTCTACATAGTTAAAAACTGAAGTGAATGTTCTTGTCATTCTCTATTTATTGCATTCGTCCGATTCTGATGTAGCATACCGTGCCACTGACTGTGTAGTCTTAAGGCCATTCCTAAAGGGGGGACATTTCTCGTTCAAGCATAGTAGAAATGTAAATGGGCTGACTCATGTCACGCTCATAACTGTGCCTGATCTACAACAGGGAACTGCTGCTTTTTCTTTCCTAATCCTCACTATTGTCATTTTCCTCTACTTCTTTTGTATGTTTGTCACTTTCTTGTGACCTGCTATTTTTGGGGTGCCTTGATAGTCGAAGCAGACCTTGTGCTGTTGAAGCTAGAGAGGTGAGCAGAATAAGTCTGATTCCCTGTAAAGACTTCTCTGTTGACACCCACCCCTTGGCGCTCATATGACCTTATGCAGTTGCGAGCGCCGTAAAGCCCTCTACTATACTATAAAAGAAAATGTTGCATACCGTAGCTCTTTATCTCCGGCAAGGGGTTAGCCACTCGGAACTGCTGAGCCGGTGAGCCGCTCGGCTCAGGCACATTCCTTTGCAACGAATTGGACATCAAATTACTTTTCGGCAATTGTCGAAAACAGGTTTTTTTTACCTGAAGTTCATTCATTAGATACAATACTATTATAAAAGGTTTGCTAGTTTCGATTTAAAGACTCATTTAGTGACATTTTTGTCATTTTTAGATTTAGTACCAAAAAATGGCCGCAGCGTAGTGGGTCCCCCACCCCACCCCCGGAGATAAAGAGTTAAAGTAACACAATTTTCAATACTGAATGAATGTTATTTTTTAAATTATTTTTTTTTATCTGCTGGTTTAAATAGAAAATTGCTGCATTCTTGTTGTTTTTTTCAGTTCTTTATCGAATGTTGATCAAAGATTGTTTAGGCCTACTTTTTTTTTTTATCACCAAAGGCTTTGGTTGCATTTTGAATTTGGTTGTATTTTGAATAAACTGTTTGCAAAATGAAATATTCGTCACCTTCTCTCTTAATTTGCTATTGTAGTCTTTGGACTTCCACAGACATTCAATGGATTTTTATGTGATTTAGAAAGAAAGAAGAACAGTGTCTTTTGACTGATTTGTCATTGGGCCCAATGACTGTATTGTGGTTAGGGGGATGCTTTGACATCACATGTGCAACAACACATTAGTAGGTGACCTGGATACATGACTTCGTTATCAATTGAAGAATAAGATGTTTGCTGAAGTTTAAATATCACATCAAGTCAGGTTCCTCGAAAATCACCGATTCCGATAATGAAGTATGTCTTTAGCTGTGATAAATGTTTAAAAGTTTTGAATGCAATGTTTAATCTTGCGCGGTGGCAGATTTCAAAAGGATTCTGTGCCTTAGTCTGTCTCTCCCAAATCTTGCTTAGATGGCACAAAAAATATCAGGCGGTACTTTCTTTCTTTCTTGAGCCTCCAGTCCATCATCCGATCATCTTATTTTGATTTTTAAGAATTTGCGGTTACACATTATAAATGATTATTAGTTGTTTGAACTTAAGATTCTAATTTTTGTACAACTGATTGTAACATGTAACTTGGCTTTCACTCTGTCACAATTAGAGTCAATCTTGGTAGCCCGTAAGTTTTTGATGTGTTGACCAGAGGTGGTTTTTGAACTGTTGTCACGTTTGCCTCTGCTGATTTGAAAGTGAAGGAAAAAAATCAATAAAAGTGGAAAGAATCTTCACTCCATGTTTTAAATTTTCATTTGTGTGTATTTTTGATTTGGGCTATTATTTCAACCATTTGGAGTAGTCCTTTCTAATTTTGTCCGATTCCTTATCTTGCCTCGCTTCACTCACCAACTTCAGACTTTTTTACCCGAAAAAAGGGAAAACTGCCCAGTGTGCAATCTGACCTAGGTGCATCCACTTTCACGACCTCCTAAATAAAGCAGAAGAATCAACAGATATGAACAGGGCACCTTCCGGGGGCACTCGTGGTGGAGAGTTTATGGTGTCCGCCTCTCTTTCAATAGGTCCCGGATTCTTTAATTTGTGGACAGTGACTAACCCCCTGGGTCAGTGCCACTGACTAGTGTCTTTGGGCCTTTTCCAAAGGGGGGACATTTCTCGTTCAAGCATAGAAGAATTGTAAATGGGCTGACTCATGTCACGCTCATAACTGTGCCTGATCTACAACAGGGAAATGCTGCTTTTTCTTTCCTGATCCTTACTATTGTCATTTTCCTCTATTTCTTTTGTATGTTTGTCACTCTTGTGACCTGCTATTTTGGGGTGCCTCGATAGTCGAAGCAGACCTTGTGCTGTTGAAGCTAGAGAGGCGAGCAGTCTTAAGTCTGATTCCCTGTAAAGACTTTTCTGTTGAAACCCGCCCCTTGGCGCTCATATGACCTTATGCAGTTGCGAGCGCCGTAAAACCCTCTAGTATTTTTTTTTTTTTAAAGGACAGTGACTGGGAAAATTTCTTCTCTAAAATGTTCTCGTTTCACATCCTTTCCCGCTATCTCACAATGTTCTGTCGGCTGCTTTCGTTTCCACTTTCTGCCTCTGCCCTCTCTGACTATTTCTGCAGCCTTTCTACTATTTCTTGGCTCCTTCTCACTGTTGTCTTTCAGCCCTTCCCTGATCTTAGCCGTCTCGGATAAGGGCGAAAAATCTCGGATGTCGCGTGAGCAAGTTGCACAAGTTAAAGATCCCTTGGTGGTCCAAAATTCATTCAGAAAATACTATTTTCATCATTCTTTAAGTTGGGTGTGTGATTTTATACAATTTTTTTTTTAGTAAGTTAAGTAAGGTACCCCTTCAATTATTGCGGAGTTATTGCCCTTGTCTTAAGGATGGGGCCACGGCTTGCCTAGCTTGCTCACTGCTAGCTGTGAAAGGGAAAAATTCTAAATGAATTCCTACCAAACTGAAAATGTTCATGTGTCCCACGCGCTCATATGACTTCATACAGTCGCGAACACCGTAAAATACCACCAAAAAAAAAGAAGAAAAGAAACAGC